TTGTCTCACTTACTTTGGACGTGTTATCTTGAGGGACCAGTCCCTAGAGAACGATGTCATGCTTAGTAAAGTAGAGAGGATCAGCAAAAAAGAGGAAGACCCTCAATGAGATGAATTGACCCAGTGGCTACAACAATGGGCTCAAACATAGCAATGATTGTGAGGATGGCACAGGACTGGGCAGTGATTTACTGAAGCAACTCAGCAGCACCTGACAACAACAATCATGGGGCATTGACAGTGGGATGGAAAAGAATGATTGCAGGTGTAGAGTCGTCAGAAATTAGAGGTGATTGGAATTTAAGTCAGAAGTTGCATCAACTTTCTGTTGTATAACTACCCCAAAAACCTAGTGGCCTAGAACAACTATTATTTCCCATGATTTTGTGGTTGACTGGATAGTCCTCTGCCGGTCTTAATTGAACTTAGGCAGCTGCATTCAGCTGAGGCTGAACAGTCTGAAATGGCTTTATTCCCATGTCTGGGGCCACCAGGCTTCTCCCAATTAACTTAGGCTTCTTCACAGCATGGTAGGCTGAGGGTTCTAAGAAGACAAGAGGAGAAGCTGCAAGGCCTCTTGAAACTGAGGCTTTCACATACGGTGTTCCTTCTGCCACATTGTTGGTCAAGAGCAAGTGATAAGGAAGGAGGTTATACCAGAGTGGGATGAATCCTAATCTCTTTCGAGTGGTGTTTTATTAAAAGTTGAGAACAGACAGAGAAACAGTATCACACAAGGGGGAAGACGCAATGTGAAGATGCATCTACAAGCAGCAAAGGAACACCAAGGATTATAAGTAGAAACTAGGAGAGAAGCATGGAGCAATTCCTCTCCCAGAGCTCTCAGAAGGAATTGACACAGCTAATACTCTGTAGTAGAACTGTGAGACAATAAATTTATGTTCTTAAACCCAAAAAAAAACAGGTCATAAGGGCAACCCAGATTCCCATTTCCCAGAGAATTCGAAGCCATATTTAATCAATCATAGGAGTCTAATGCTGCAGTTTTAATGTTTTTTTAGGTGACCAAAATGGGAAGTCCTTAAATAATCTTACTTGTTTTTCCTTTTTTAATTGATTACTTAGGTGGTATTCAGTAAAAACTTGTTCTGTAAATTTAATTAAGTAATTAAATATCTTTTTGGTTCAGCTCAGACACTGTTGTCATCTAGCAGTTCTTTTCAAAAACAGATTTGATGCCGCTTCTAATAACAGATATTCTGGTTTATAAAATAAAAACAGAAAATTATGATACTAGAATGGAGAAGAAAGTGAATTCTAAAACCATAATAATATGGTTGTTGTGGTTAAGCATCAGACTTTCTTTGGAGTTTTCTGGCAGCCGAGGAACAAAGGGAAAACCAAGATACACTTACCAGAAAATAGGAATCCAGCAATGCTGTGCACCAACCACTAAGGCCAAAAATGAAGAAATTGAAGATGTTTACCAACTTGTGCAGTCTGAAATTGATCAAACATGCAGTCAAGATGCATTGATAATTACTGGTGATTGAAATGCAAAAGCTGGAAACAAGAAGGCTCTGTAGTTGGAAAATAATGGCCTTGGTGATAGACATGACATTGGAGATCGCATGATAGAATTTTGGAAGAGCAAGAACTTCTTCATTGCAAATACCTTTTTACAACAACGTAAACAGTGACTGTACATGTGGACCTTGCCAGATAGAATATAAACCAAAAATATAAACCAAACCCATTGCCATCAAGTTGATTCCCACTCATAGCGACCCTATAGGACAGGGTAGAACTGCCCCATAGGGTTTCCAAGGAGCACTGGTGGATTTGAACTGCCGACCTTTTGGTTAGCAGCCGTAGCTCTTAACCACTATGCCACCAGGGTTTTTAGATGGAATATACAGGAATCAAATTGACTAAATCTGTGGAAAGAGACGATGGAAAACCTCATATCATCAGTCAGAACAAGGCCAGGGGCCGACTGTGGAACAGACCATCAACTGCTCATATGCAAGTTCAAGTTGAAGCCAAAGAAAAATAGAACAAGTCCACAAGAGCCAAAGTACAACCTTGAGTATATCCACCTGAATTTAGAGACCATCTTAAGAATAGATTTGACACATTGAACACTAATGACCAAAGACCAGACAAGTTGTGGGATGACATCAAAGACATCGTACATGAAGAAAGCAGGAGGTCATTAAAAAGACGGGAAGGAAAGAAAAGACCAAAATGGATATCAGAAAAGACTCCTGAAACTTGCTCTTGAACGTTGAGTAGCAAAAGCGAAAGGAAGAAATGATGAAGTCAAAGAGCTGAACAGAAGACAAAGTAAAGTATTATAATGAAAGGTGCGAAGACATGGAGCTAGAAAACCAAAATGGAAGAACATGCTCGGCATTTCTCAAGCTGAAAGAGCTGAAGAAAAGAATTCAAGCCTCAAGTTGCAATATTGAAGGATTCTACAGGGAAAATATTAAACAATGCTGAAAGCATCAAAAGAAGATGGAGGGAATACGCAGAGTCACTGTACCAAAAAGAATTGGTTGATGCTCGGCTATTTCTCGAGGTAGCATATGATCAAGAACCAATGGTACTGAAGGAAGAAGTCCAAGCTGCACTGAAGTCATTGGCAAAAAACAAGGCTCCAGGAATTGATGGAATACAAATTGAGATGTTTCAACAACGGATGCAGTCCTGGAAGTGCTCACTCATCTATGCCAAGAAATTTCGAAGACAGCTACCTGGCCAACTGACTGGAAGAGATCCATATTTGTGCCCATTACAAAGAAAGGTGATCCAACAAAATACAGAAATTATTGAACAATATCACTAATATCACACACAAGTAAAGTTTTGCTGAAGGTCATTCCAGAGCAATTGTATCAGTACATCAACAGGGAACTGCAAGAAATTCGAGCCACATTCAGAAGAGGATGTGGAATGAGGGATATCATTGCTGATGTCAGATGGATCATGGCTGAAAGCAGAGAATACAAGAAAGATGTTTACCTGTGTTTTATGGACTATGCAAAGGCATTCAGCTGTGTGGATCATAACAAATTATGGATAACATTGCAAAGAATGGGAATTCCAGAACACTTCATTGTGTTCATGAGGAACCTGTACTTAGACCAAGAGGTAATCGTTCGAACAGAACAAGGGGATGCTGCTTGGTTTAAAGTTAAGAAGGGTGTCATCAGGCTTGTATCCATTCACCATATATATTCAGTCTGTATGCTGAGCAAATAATCTAAGAAGCTGGACTATATGAAAGAGAATGAGGCATCAGAATTGGAGGAAGACTCAGTAACAATCTGCAGTATGCAGATGACACAACCTTTCTTGCTGAAAGTGAAGAGGACTTGAAGCACTTACTGATGAAGACCACAGCGTTCAGTATGGATTATACCTCAACATAAAAAAGAAAACAAAAATCCTCACAACTAGACCAATAAACAATGCCATGATAAATGGAGAAAATACTGAAGTTGTAAAGGATTTCATTTTACTTGGATCCACAGTCAACAGCCATGGAAGCAGCAGTCCAAATGATGCACTGCGTTAGGCAGATCTGCTGCGAAAGATCTCTTTAAAGTGTTAACGAGCAAAGATATCTCTTTAAGGGCTAAGGGTGCCTGAACCAAGCCGTGGTGTTTTTCAGTCACCTTATATACATGTGAAAGTTGGACAGTGAATAAGGAAGACGGAAGAAGAATTGATGCCTTTGAATTATGGTGTTGGTGAAGAATATTGAATATACCGTGAACTGCCAGAAGAATGAACAAGTCTGTCTTGGAAGAAGTACAGCCAGAATGCTCACTAGAAGCAAGGATGGCAAGACTTCTTCGTCACATACTTTGGACATGTTATCAGGCGGGACCAGTCCCTGGAGAAGGACATCATGCTTGTTATAGTAGAAAGTCGGCAAAAAAGGGGAAGGCCCTCAAGGAGTTGAATTGACACAGTGGCTGCAAAGATGGGCTAAAGCATAACAGTGATTGAGGATCGCGCAAGACCAGGCAGTGTTTCATTCTTTTGTACGTAGGGTTGCTATGAGTCAGAACACACTATACGGCACCTAACAACAACAAGCAATGCTTCATTTCCTCGTTTAGGAACTTATGTAATAGACAGTGTGTAACAGCATAAAAAGTGACCTTGCAGTTTTATAGCAAATCCAAAAATGTTTCTTATGGTTTTCTTATAATTACCTTTAATGAAAAGCTAAGGGAATAAATTAAAGCATAACTCAGTGGACAGAATTCTCTACTGTTAAGCTAAAGTGTCTCAAGTATAGAACCTACCAGTAGTCATATTGTTGTTTTTAGGTGACATCAAGTCAATTCTGACTCTTGGCAACCTTACATACAACAAAATGACACTGCCGGGTCCTGCGCCATCCTCACAGATGTTGCTATGTTTGAGTCCATTGTTGCAGCCAGTTGTCAATCCAGTCATCATATTAGATATAAAGAAAAAATAGACTCCCTAGAGGAGTAAATGAATAATATCTTGAGACTACTACTACACAAGATGTAGTCGACGGACAGTGTTATTTTACAAACTTATTTGTTACAGGTTCACACTGAGTCAAGTACAGAAATTGAGGGTAAACATTTAGAAACTTTTATGGTAATTTGACATTGCTTTAACAACCAAGTGTGAGTGCATTTGTAAAACTATCGGTCTGTGGCAGATTGGAAATTTTTAAAAAATTGATCCTTTATCACAGGTAGTTTTTCAAAATATTATTTGCTGCTTTGGATCGAAACTGGGTAACAATTTGATGTTCTCTACTATTAAGGACCTGGTGTGCTTATCTTCTGTGTTGCTGATTGGAGAGCTGAGCTAGGCACTATATATGAAATGCTTGTGGTGGGCATCCTTCTATGCAGTTGGAAAGTCTAATTGGTATTTCTAGTAGTATGAAAGTCCAGGACATACCTGCAGAGAAAGCTAAGATTTTTCTTAGAACCCAATATTTTGTGTATTAATATTTGTGGTTAATTTTGTTACTGCAGACTATTCTTGTTCAGTCTTGGTACCCAATCACAGTGGCCACAAATTCAAGGGAGCAGAAGAAAATATTGGCCAAGTATTTGTTAGAAACTTCTGGTAGCTTAGATGGCCTGGAATACAAGTTACATGATTTTGGCTACAGAGGAGTCTCTTCCCAAGAGGTAAAAAATTGTAAAATGAACTTCATATAATAAAACGTGGACTTGGGGTTTGATTACCACTATAAACTTTTGGGGAAGTTGTTGGGATATGTCTTGGTTCTAAGTCAACCACATCTGTGAAATTTCAAAGATTCAGTTAACAATTTATATATATTTCTATAAAACAACTATTATGCGTCAGTCTCTGTTAAAGGTACATGGGATGTAGCCTTCAACAAAATAGTCTCTGTCCTTTATATAGTTGGTAGAGATACAGACACACACACAATAAATATATCAGATGTTAGATAATGCTACAGAGAAGCACCAGGCAAGGTAAAGGAACAGAGGGTGATTGGAATTGGGGTGGATACTTTCAAGTCTCTTTGAAGAGGTAACGTTTGAATCCTTAAATATTTATGAAAAAAACTGAATCTTTGCCCTAAGGAACCATTATCTCTGATAATAGTTAAATATCTAAGAATGGCAAAAGAAAATAATTCCTTTGGGAGCTGTGCTATATATACCTCAATTATGAGTTTTTCTTTTTTGGATTTTTGTTTATGGTTTATTTTCCAGACTGCTGGCATAGGAGCCTCTGCTCATTTGGTTAACTTCAAAGGAACAGATACAGTAGCAGGAATTGCTTTAATTAAAAAATACTATGGAACAAAAGATCCTGTTCCAGGTTATTCTGTTCCAGCAGCAGAACACAGGTAAGATTCTTTGTTTTCATCCTTCTATTACCTACTTCTTTTTTATACTTATATTTGTAACTCAGTGATGTTTTGCTTAACTAAAGAGCCAGCTACTACAGTAAAACTACATGACCTTAAGTAGTACAAATTTGGAATTTGTACTTTGTGTAAGAATTACTATCAGGAAGTGTGGGAAAGGTTTAACCATCCTAATAGAAACATTTTAAGGGTTTTTTTCCATCTGCTGTGTTGCCATGGGCAGATAGATTTTATTCTTCATTAAATTAAGTCTAGGAACACTTGCTATAAAAACTGCTCAGTTTTTTTCCTTTCACTACTATTCTACATGACATTACCTATTTTTGCTCTGGAAATGGTCATCTGGACTCAGTACCCTCAAAAGGGCATGTAGATGAACAAGTAAGCCCTTTTGATGAAAGGAAGAGTGTAGAGATTCTACTTATGTATCCTTATTTGCTCTTAGTAAACCATCATTATAGTCCAGGTATAGCTGCTCTGGTCCTAGAGTTAACTTTATTGAAAATCAGTGGGATTTTTAAAATGTATGTCAACAATGGCCCAATAAAATATATCTGGTTTTCTCAACACAAATTATTTACTATAATCAAATTGAGGATGTATATTAAGTTCTGCTCATACTTGAAAACTGTATAGAGTGCTAAAACCAGCAGTGAGATTAGAATAAAGCTGATTTTTTTTTTTTTTTTTTAATTTATGTTTGATGCATATTAGTTGATTGGCCTTCATACGCAAGGCAGTCTGCTGGGTGCTGCAAGAAATAGATTTTAAAAAAAACTGATCTAGTCCTCAGTATAAAAATAGTACATTGGTAACATTCTGCTGTTGATTAAGTACTTTCAAAGAGGTACAATTAAAGTGCTGTATCGTGCAATGAAAGAATCATACTCCACTGGCAAGACTAAGAAAGGGTTTATAGAGATGAGTCTTTGAAGGAATGGTAAAAATGGCCAACATTGGGTGACTGTTCATTCTCTGAATAAATATTTATTGTGTGTCTACCAAGTGTCAAGCATCGTGCTGAAAGAGCAGAGTTTGAAAGTGGGGAATAAGAGCTGAAACAGATTTTTGTAGGAAATATAGACTGGGAAAGAAGTTTGCAAGGGCCCTCAAATTCATTTTGATACTGAACATTGACATGTACATTATGCTAGGTTATTCTTAATTAGGCATTTTCAAATAGTGGCAGGCATTAGAGTTTTTGAGCAAAGAAATGATGTCATTAGATAAATATTTTAGAAAGATTATTTTGGTAACAGGCTACCTTTTGGATTGAATAAAGGAGAAACTGGAAGTTAGGAGGCTTTATAGGAAACTGTTACAGTAGTCTTGAGAGATGTGATGAGGCCTAGAACCAGGTGGCTGAGTGAATGGAAAGAAATGGATAAACATGAGCAGTGGCTTGAGAGATAAAATTGCTATAACTTTCTGATTTGAATCGGGGTTCAGGAGAGAGTAGATTCAGCTAAACATTTATGAGCATTGCTGTCTGAGCAGGGTCTTGCTGAACATTTTTACGTGGCAGTTTCAAGCCTGATTAACTGGAGTAATGACGTTGTCATTAACAAAAAAAGGTTAAGGTCAGAGTATTTTTGTTTTGGACTTAGATGTACATCACTCTTGGATTAAAAAGTTAATGTAATTTGTATATATTAGACTCTTCATTGATGGTTTTGTTTCAAGGTAATAACACCATGAGTATGATATAGTAAATCTGAGAATAACAATAATTGGCTTTAGGGCTTTCATATTAAAAGGCGGTGGACACTATACATGTGCACGGAGTGAAAATCCATTTCACTTTTCATGATCTCATAATATTTTCCATGTTTGTAAATCTGACTCCTTAATATATAAAAACATTTTAGGTGTTCTTATACATAGTCTTTTATACAAACTTATACAAGTCTTTGAAACAACAGCATAGTATAGTGAAAGAACATTGAATGAAAGTTGGGAAACCTGGGTGACCTTACAACTGGCATACTAGGTGGCCTTGGGAAGTTACTTATCTCTCTGTCCTTCAGTTTCATCCAACCAAACAAAAGCAGGAGCTAAAATTCTATGGCTCCAACATCAAGAATGTCGTTGAGGATAAATGAACTAACATGTAAAATAACTTTTAAAATAAGAAAACTACAACTTTACAGGATTGGCATTATTGAAAATAGAAATATTTTCTTAAAGAATATATGCATCTGGACTTAGAAGTATTCAACTACATAACTTTTTCCTTCAAACTTTGGAAAGGTGTAAATTTGATTGGTGTTTGAAATTGAGATAATAACATGGGTAGAATCCATTGAACAACCGTTTGATTATTTCCATATACAAATACTGAGTAAACGAATGAAAAGTCTTATGGAGAGCTAGTTAAATAAACCACAATTTCTGAGTAAATACAGCGTAAGTGTTAGGATGGGATTATGTAGAAGAAGTGTCCGTGGCATGATGAGATGAAGATATTCAGCACAGCGGATCTGGAGCTCAGAAGAAAAACCTGGGCTAAAGTACTGATTTTTGGAGATCATCACCACAAGGGTGTTTTTAGAAAAATTTGAGTGTTTCACACAGGAAAGCATATAGAGGGAGGCAAGTGCCCAGGTCAGAGCCCTGAGAAATACTGACATTTGACAGAATAGGTGGAAGAAAGAGTACAGCACTTGGTGGAGCCTGAAGAGGATCCTTAGAAATAAGAAAAACCCAAAGTGGGAGATATCATTCAAGTCAGAAAGCTTCAGGAAAAATCAAATGCCATAGGGAAGGCAAATGAGATAAAGACTAAAAAATAACTGCATAAGCAATGACCTCTAACTGTAGGGGTTTAATTCTTATATTGCAAAGCTCTCCAGTGCTGGTATTCATTGAGCTTAATTGTCTTCTCTATGCAGAGGACAGTAGCAATTCTGGATGTTAAAAGGGGGCTTCTTTTCATTCCAGTCTTAATTTTCCCTTTAGCATGTACATGTTTGCATGGAGTAGAGAATTTTCATCAGCTACTGGCAACCTCTGCAGTTGTTAAGAAGAAAGAATGTTTGCTGTTAAATGAGTTCATGTAAATAGACTGTCAATTTCAGACAAGAGTAGTCTGTCCGTAGCTAAGTCTTTTATAATAACCCTATAGTATGCATCCTCAGACCCCAAACATACCATTGATAGCATGGAAAAGTTGTTCATTCAGCCTTTAGGAAAAAAAATTATGAATTGATAATTTAAAACATAAATTACTGTGACTCTTCAGTTTTGAGATAATTACATATCTAAAGAATTACAGAATCAAGGAGAAAGAAAAATTGCTTGGTATGAGGAAATGGTAACAATTTTCAAATTCATTACAGAACCCTGTTAAGAATTTTTGTAATTATTTAAAATTAAAAATTAACCAGTAAGTACTTATAAGTAGAACCATTATTGAGACATTGTAAAAATTACTATAGCCATTCTTGCCTAACTGAAAGATGGCAATGACATGGATAGTCCCAAACTGCTTTTATCTTTTTTGTTGGAGTTAACAGAAAAAAATAATATTCTCACACTATTTTCCCAGTCCTGATTATGTTTTGCTCAAGCTAAATATTAACATTCTTATTTTGGGCATATATTAATAAGTGATATTCTATTTTAAGGAGCCCTGGTGATGCAGTAGTTAAAGCGCTCGGCTGCTAACCAAAAGGTCAGCGGTTCAAACCCATCAGCCACTCCCTGGGAGAAAGATGTAGCAGTCTGCTTCTGTAAAGATTCACAGCCTTGGAAACCCTATGGGGCAGTTCTTCTCTGTCCTGTAGGGTCGCTATGAATCAGAATCAACTCGATGTCAGTGGATTATTCTATTTTATAATAGAATATCTAATCTGTTCTATAAACAAGATAAATGACGACCTGTTACTGGCCATTTGAAAACACAACAGATAGAGTTAGATGTACATGTATCTGTGGGATAGTATAAATAGCTGCCTAAGTAATTACCTCTCAGTATAAGATTTTGAAAGATAAAGACAAAATGTTTTTCCCTACTGTTACTGTTACATGGCTTTGAAAATTCACAGAAAAGAGCAAAGTACTTGCATTGCCTAGCAAAAATAATGGGAGTATATGCTCATTCTTTGTAACAACTTGACTTAACATAAGAGAACATTCAGCAAGTGCTTTTTTAGCTCACTGATTTTAAATGGGTATGTTCGGAAATACCAAAATAAAAAAGTTTCTAATTGATTGACTTTGACTTAAACGTTAAGTAATTTAATGAATAAGGTTACTTACACTATCAAATACAAATTGGCCAAGGGGTGGTTTGGTCAGAAATTCTTCTTATGATATGCATTCATTAACCTAAATCATTCATCTCCTCTGTGATGTTGGTGGTGTACTATCGTAAGCATGAGATATGGTTAACAGATGATTCAGAAATAGGTAATGTGTCTTCTGAGTAAATCTGTATTTTCATTTTGTTTTCTAGTACCATAACAGCTTGGGGGAAAGACCATGAAAAAGATGCTTTTGAACATATAGTAACACAGTTTTCATCAGTGCCTGTATCTGTGGTCAGCGATAGCTATGACATTTATAATGCGTGTGAGAAAATATGGGGTGAAGATCTGAGACAATTAATAGTATCAAGAAGTACAGAGGCACCACTAATAATCAGACCTGATTCTGGAAATCCCCTTGACACTGTATTAAAGGTAAATTTTGATATGTAACTTGATTATTAAAATGCCTATAGGCCAATTGCATCAACACTGCTTGTAATTTCATTTACACACACCATTCCAGAGCTGTCCAGGCAAGTCCCCATATTTTAGAGTTGTGGCCCAGAGAGAGTAATAGATGTGCCCAAGGCCACATGTTAATTAATAACAGAGAAAGGAGTTGTGGGTAATTTATATACTGTCAAATAACAGTTATGTACCGTTAAATGGATATTTTTTCTACTTACCTTCACAATTAATTGATTGCATTATACCATTTTAACCAATCCTGTGAAGTGGTCATCAAGTTTATTTATGGTTTCTTTTCCTTTATCACAAGTCATTGCTGTACTTTTGAAGTTTTAGTGCAAAAGAAATATGTGCAGGGTGTTGTGGATTAAGAATAATTTGAAAATACTTTCCATGTAGTGGTTCTTTGAAACAGTGTTGCTTTTAAATATGATAATGTTGGATTTTTTAGTGTTCGTGATTTGGTTTGCCTTCTTTGAAAAGCACTAACAAGAACAGGGTTATTTGATGTCTACTGCTAGAAAAACACCATGTTGGGTGCTTTATATAAACTATGTCATTTAATTGTTACAAAAACCCTGTGTTAAATATTACTAGCTCTGTTTTAAAGAAGAAGAAGAAACAGGCTTAGAGAGGTTAAAGAAACTTGCTTAAGGTCATACAACATATAAAATAAGAAACCAAGTATCCAATCTAGGACTTTCTGGTATGGTATTCCCATTTTACCAGTTTCCCAGCTAATGATTAGATGATAAATTAATTACCCCCAAAGAGAGAGAGACAGAGAATCAAGGAGGCCTTTTCCTATCCTTAATGATAGGCTATTCTGAAGGTCTTGTCTTAGCCTGAAATATTAACAGATTTGGTTTTAGCGAACGTAATAAGCTTCATCTTTTAACTGCTATCTAATAAAAATGTATATGACTAGTTATAAGAACAAACTGAGTCATTAATACAGAATTTTTTCATTGTTAGAATCTTTAATTGATTTATGTAGGAAAAGGTAATTATTTGTGGGGCTGCGAGGATGTGTCTGATTGGTAGGTTTTTTTGTATCCCTGGCCAAGCTTTTGGAGAAATTTTAAATTTTGTGTTTGGGTATTTCAGTTGCTATAAAACTGTCAGGAGTTAATGAGTGAGTGAGGGTGATTGGCATATTATGCATTTTGACTTAAAAAAAAAATGAGTGTCATCTTTAAGTGAAACGGAAAACTTCAGAGAAACTATGGGTTACGTATGGTTCATTTCCAGCTTTGTCTCCATATCACAATTTCTCTGAACTTTGATTCAAATGGATTTACATATGACTCATATTAGACAAAATTAAACCAAACAAAAGTATTGTGCACAAATCAAATAAATTTAAATTAAAAGTATAATCATGAGTTTGTTAATGATGCTGTATATACCTTTAAGAAAAATTACATATATTGTTTTAATTTCCTTAATGTTAAGGACTTTTTTCCCCTGAATCCGTATAATTTGAAAAATGTGAGGAAAAAAGCATAGGTTTTGAGCTACTTTATGAATAAATTTATTTAACAGGAAATCGCATACGTTTCTAACATAATTACAAAAGGTTGGGACTCAGTTTGAAAGGGCTTATACATAGTATTTATTATACGATTTTTAAAGTAATTTGATGAATTTTTAAATTCCCAAGATTGTCTAGCAAAGCAGAGTCTTTTTTTAACTTTGGAAAGTTTTTACACTTTTTTTCAGTTATAGTTATTTTGTGTTGGTTGTTATTTTTCCATACAGGTGTTAGATATTTTAGGTAAGAAGTTCCCTGTTACAGAGAACTCAGAGGGCTACAAGTTGTTGCCACCTTACCTTAGAGTTATTCAAGGGGATGGAGTGGATATTAATACCTTACAAGAGGTATGTGTTTTATATTAAAAGTTCCAGTAAGGTAATCCTTATTATTAAGCTCCATTTTATTAGCTTAATAAGAAACACAGTAATATAAGTACAGTTATAAGTTTTTTTTAATAACTTTTTATAATAGTATATTTCTATCTGTTAATTGCATAAAATTTAGAAACAATAGTACCAGTCAATCCACACTGTCTTACTCCTCCCAGTCCTCATTGGCCACCATGGATGATGAGGCTAAAGAAGTGTTACTATGAAACAAGAAAATGCCAGTCAAGGAATGCTCCTTATATACTAAATAAAAAGATGTTGACCCTGCCTGAGTAGGTCCCAGTTTTAATGAAATGGAGCTTCACATACTCTTAACAGTGTGAAACGGATGGTATTAATGTGTACAGTACTCTTTTGAGAAATAGAAAGTGGGTTGTCGCCGCTTCTGAGTTAAGTGTTGACTGTCATCACTGTTACTGGTAGATTTAACCAAATAGTGTGTTCTATTATCATAAACTTTTGCCTGTTTTATTTTCCGGTAAGCTTTAAAGAGCTCTGCTTTTATTTTAACTTGTACCTAAGATATTCCACAAAAAATATGAACTCACTGTCATCACAGTGTAGGCTCTCTAGTATTGTAAACCACCGACATTTTAAAGTGTACAAGTCATTAAAGGATTTTTCTGTTTGAGTTTGGTGGTGTTTGACTAAGGCCGATACCCAAATTGTAAAGTTTGTTTTCTAGAGATTCATTTGAAAGTGAGAACTATGAGTAAAAAAAGCAGTATTTCTGTGGTGATGTGCATTTAAGAGTTCCAGAATGCAGTGTCTGAAATACATCTCTCTTGCAATAACAGAAGTGAAGTTTCCTCCACCACCTCTCTCCCAAGCTGCCTTGCCTAAGAGGAGCGGGGACCTCCTCCAACTCCTCTAAGACATGTTGGTGTAGGGAGATTAGGGACTTTCATGTGAAAAGAAAGAAAGAAAAGTCTGCAGTCAGAAGTGGGGAATACAGGATTCCTGAGTATAGACATCTGAGATGGTGTATTTAATTGCTGTTATAACCTTCACTCAGCTGAACTGACAATTTCTTACTTTGGTATCCATTAAGTACTACTACCCATACCTACATTTTAGGCAGTGTAGGAAGTACCCACATCTTTCAGATGAAGAAACATAGGCAGAGTACTCTACCAATTTCAGAAAACCCATTTTAATCCCGTACTGTTCCCACTGCTTGTGCCTACCCCTTGTTTTAGTGGTCACCTGTTTAAGTTGGGTTGTTCAGTCAGGTATTTGAGCTTCCCATTAAAAACCAAAGTTCTTTGGCTTTCTTTTGTCTTCATATATATAAGAAAACAACAGTGGGGTTATACTGTAAACTTCATCAAATGTCACAGGGCAGACTGACTGAATAACAAAGTTTAAGAGTGAAGTTGACATTCAAGAAGAGAAGTTAGTTTTCAATTAAACAGATTTTTCATTTTTCCAAAATTAAGGCATTTAATTTAGCTTATGTACAAAACAAAACTGCTGTGAATTTCTTTCCTTGCTTCTAAAAACATATTTTAACCCATCTCTTATGAAGCAGAAGAAAAAAAGTAGGTATTATCCTTTGGGTAAATCAACACATTTGAAGGTACTTGCATTAACACAAACTATTCATTCTCAGACTGTTCTGTTTAAAGTTTCATCGGTGCCAAAACAACCATCAAGAGTATTTGTGTCCATATTTAACTTCTTGTTCATGGAGTTAAAAAGTAAACTAAATATTACTCTATGCACAAGTCAACTTTTTTCTTTCTTTCTTTCCCGTTAGCTATCTTACTGTTCTTTTCCTGGGACCGTTTTCCCTACCCTTTTAGGAAATTTCCCCTGAGCTTCGCAACTTTGGTGTAGAGATTTAGACTTAGCTGTTATCTAAAATGTTGGTTTTATGTAAATCTTAGTGATAGGAGCAAATTAATTTTCTGTCTGTATAAAGGGAATATATTGTGAAAGCACTTGTAGATTGTAAAGAATGATTTAAATGTATGATTGTGATAAAATTATTTAAATACTAATAGCATAATCTTATTCGTTTCATTTTAGTTATATTAGATTCCTTGAATATGAAAATGTATTATTCAACATAAGAGTAGTGTCTAAGACTATAGTGATAGTTTGTCAATTGGTTATATCTAATCAGATTTCCTTCTGATTTGTGTGTGTAAATGTTTTTAAATAGAAATTTTTTCCCTAATTCTGTAACTTCCCATAATGTTAATAGAAAAATTCACTTAAACTTCAACTGTAAATTCAGTCCAAATTTTACAACTTTTGATGACGCTATACGGGAAGAATATCTTTAAGAAACTGGGCCTGAAGTACAGTGATAATGATATTAGGTGATTCTGTACTTTGTAATTTACTCATTCATGTGCCTCTGGGGCATATCTAAAGCCAGGTAACAGGATGAAACTATTTTCTCTATATTTTACCCAAGCCACCTTACCCTTCATCTGTCTGTTTTCCTTTTCTTTCCCTTACTTTTTCTGTTCTTCTCTGCATATATTTCTAAAGTTACCTTGTTCACAGTCATTTCAATGAAAAATCTGAATTCAGGGCCTTTGAGTACCTGTGGGTTCAGGTACAAGAGTAAAGAAATGAAACTGGATTTAGTAGAACCTAAGGAATCACATTAAAATAAATTGTGTTTCCATCTTGATACTTACAGTGAAAAAGTGCATGTAGCAGGAGAATTAGATGGTTAGAATTTTAAAAGAAGGATGCATTTCTAAAGGTGAGGTTGTTAAAAGAGGAAAGTGCTTGGTTGAGATTTGTATATTTTTATCTTTGCAATATTGAAAATAAAGAATAGAGAAAAAAATCAACTTGAGGCTATTGGTATTTGGGGAGAATATGATGAATTTGTGTTATTGATTCACACAAAGCTATTATTAAGCTTGGTAATTGAATATGTTAAATAAAAAGACAGATGCTATGTAAAGGAGCCCCTCCTAGAGGAAAGAAATACAAATGACATTGATAAGAAACGAATCTTTAATGTAGCTTTTAGACAAGGTGTCCCTTGAAAGTTATATTAGATGTCAGAACTGTATTTCATACAGGTCTTTCTTGCTGGCTTGTAGATACTCATTCTCCCAAAGGATCCAGTGATAAGTCTTAACACCCAATGCACGTGTCCATAATTTTGGTTATGGCACTGGAGGACCAGCCTGAGTAAAATGGCTCTGCCAGTGGATCAACTGTTATGTAGAGGAGAGTAATTTATACTGTTTTCCCATTAATATCTGTTGACTTTTACATGTGTCTTTTCATATGGCACGCAACATGACATTTAATAGCATGACACTTTGCAATTTATTAGTGATGGTTAGTGTCATTTCTACAGTCTAGTATTAGGGTAAATGTCTGGGCCGCATTGCTTGTGCTGCTGGCATCTGGGCAATAACCTAAGGAGGTAGATAGGACAAAAATTGGCTCAATTAACATTAGGTAGGTAGTTGTAAACTTTCTCTTATTCTCTCGCATTTCCTTAATTCCCCCAACCCTAACCACAACAGTAATGACAACACAAAATCAGAAATGTGAATGAAACTGTCTCCTTTCATACATATCCCTCAGTTTAAAGGCTTCCCTTTTTGGAGTGGATGGGTCTTAGAAAATATGGAGTATGACTTTGTCTAGGCCTTATTCTTTTCTTGTTACTGACTGTTATAAAAAATCTAGAATGATTCATTCATCAGTATTTTCCATGGAAAATCAAATTACTTTTATATTTTGGTGTTTATTTTTAATCTTCTAGATCGTAGAAGGCATGAAGAAAAAAAAATGGAGTATTGAAAATGTTTCCTTTGGTTCTGGTGGAGCTTTGCTACAGAAGTTAACAAGAGATCTCTTAAATTGTTCCTTCAAGTGTAGTTATGTGGTAACCAATGGCCTTGGGGTATGTCCTTCAGCTTTTACTCCTTCTGTGTGTTGATGCCTTCTTTATGTATCTAGGTAGAATGTAGTTATTGAATGTGTGTAATGTAGTCCTGAACTATTAATCCATTGTTTGTCAGATACCTTGATTCAGAAACAAGGAAAGAAGAGATGTTAGCTAATAACCGATTAAGAGAAAGAAAAAAGATAATGAGAAAAATAATGTGAAAGATTATTTAAGAAATATAATACAGGTCAATCATTTCCCACTGCTCCAGTATATACCTTTGAATCAAAAAGTTGACAATGTTTAAGTGGGAATGTCAGCTGACCTAGCCATCAACAATCCCACTAGCCGTAGGCTCTTGAGAGCTGGGGATTCTATGGAGCAAAGGGTGGGGCTGAGGGATGCCAAGAACTTCCTCTCCTAAGAACACTTTGGGTTGGCTACTTGCTTTGTTTCTTCTCCATCTTTCTTTAGAGAGTTCTGGGATTGACTCATTTGTTGTTCACTTCACTGCCACCGCTAGTTGCTTATATAATATTTTGCCTCTTACTTTTTGATCCTGCAGTCAATATTCTGCTGTATTGAGGTTCTATACGTCTTTTTTGCTTCTGACAATAACGAGGTAACAGAGTAAAAACTAACAAAAGGGTAAGATTAAGAAGTAGGAAACCGTCTCCACAGTTTAAGTATACATAGTATTGGCATCGATATTTTTTTTCCAATAGCATGTATGTACTATACTTAATAAGTTTAAAGTCAGTTTGTAATATAGAAGATAGTACTTTAAGGGTCACATGATAAAAACCTGAAAGACTTCCTACAAATGGAGTATTCTTCAGTGTTAAGAAAAGATATCTAATATCTAGATTCTATTCTTTTCATAACAGATGACTCTGTCCTCCAAAACAGGCTGGAGTTACATTTCTAAAAGTCAGATATGAATTGGTTTAATTATACTATGAAGTGATTCCGCCATGAGTCATTTTGTTGTACTGTGGTGGGTTTCGTGTTACTGTGATACTGGAAATTTTGCCGCTGGTATTTCAAATACCTGCAGGGTCATCCTTGGTGAACAGGTTTTAGCAAAGCTTTCAGACTAAGACTAGGAAGAAGGAGCTGGCAGTCTACTTCTGAAAAAATTGGTCAGTGAAAACCTTATGAATAGCAGTGGAACATTGTCTGATATAGTACTGGACGATGAGCCCCTCAGGTTGGAAACCAAAAACAAAAAACCAAACCTGTTGCCATCCAGTCAGTTCTAACTCATAGTGACCCTATAGGATAGAGTAGAACTGCCCCATAGGGTTTCCGAGGAGCAGCTGTTGGATTGGAACTGCCGACCTTTTGGCTAGCAGCCATAGCCCTTAACCACTTTGCCACCAGGGTTCCCCTCAGATTAGAAGGCACTAAAAATATGACTGGGGAAGATCTGTCTTCTCAAAGTAGAATCAACCTTAATGATGAGGATGGAGTCAAGCTTTCAGGACCTTTATTTGCTGATGTGGTGCAACTCAAAATGAGAAGAAACAGCTGCAGACATCCATTAATCAGAACATGGAATGTGTGAAGTATGAATCTAGGAAAATTGGAAGTTGTCAAAAATGAAATGGAACACATAAAGACTGATATCTTAGGGTCTAGTGAGCTGAAATGGAGTGCTATTGCCATATTGAATCAGTCGTATGGTCTGCTATGCCGGGAATGACAAATTGAAGAAGAATGGCATTGCATTGATTGTCAAAAAGAACTTTTCAAGATCTATCCTGAAGTACAATGCTGTCAGTGTTAGGATAATATCCATACACCTACAAAGAATACCAGTTAAAATGACTATTATTCAAATTTACACACCAGCTACTAATGCCAAAGATGAGGAATTTGAAGATTTTTATCAACTTCCGCATTCTGAAATTGATCAAACAGGCAATCAAGATGCATTGATAATTACGTTGTTTAGAATGCGAGAGTCAGAAATGAAGGATTGGTAGTTGGAGAATACGGTGTTGGTGATAGAAACAACCCGGAGATCACATGATAGGATTTTGCAAGACCAAAGACTTCTTCATTGCAAATACCTTTTTTCAACAACGTAAATTGCCAACTATACGCATGGACCTTGCTGGATGGAAAACACAGGAATCAAATTGACATCTGTGGAAAGAGATGATAGAAAAGCTCAATATAATCAGAACAAGGCCAGGGGCCGACTGCGGAACAGACCATCAGCTGCTCATATGCAAGTTCAAGTTGAAGCTGAAGAAAATTTTAAAAGTCCATGAAAGCCAAACTATGACCTTGACTATATCCCACCTGACTTTGGAGACCATTCAAGAATAGATTTCACATGTTGAACACTAATGACCAAAGACCAGATGAGCTGTGGTAAAACATCAAGAACATCATATATGAAGAAAGCAAAAGGTCATAAAAAAGACAGGAAGGAAAGAAAAGGCCAAAGTGGATGTCAGAAGAGACTGAAACTTGCTCTTGAATGTAGAGTAGCTAACGCAAAAGGAAGGAATGACAAAGTAAAACAGCCGAACAGAAGATTTCAAAGGGTAGTTCGAGAAGACAAAGTACAACATTATAATGAAATGCGCAAAGACCTGAAGTCAGAAAAGCAAAATGGAAGAACGCTCAGCATTTCTCAAGCTGAAAGAACTGAAGAAAAAGTTCAAGCCTTGACTTGCAATTTTGAAGGATTCGGTGAGCAAAGTATTAAATGACACAGGAAGCAGCAAAATCAGATAGAAGGAAGACACAGTCACTGTACCAAAAAGAATTGGTTGATGTTCACCCATTTCTGGAGGTAGCATATGATCAGAACTTGATGGTCCTAAAGGAAGGAGTCCAAGCTGCACCGAAGGCATTAGCGAAAAACAAAGCTTCAGTTGTTGATGGAATACCAACAGAGATGTTTCAACAAATGGATGTAGCACTGGGTGTATTCACTTGTCTTTGCCAAGAAATTTGGAAGATAGCTACCTGGCCAGTCAACTGGAAGAGATCCATATTTGTGCCCATTACAAAGAAAGGTGATCCAACAGAATGTGGAAATTATCGAATAATATGATTTATATCACACACAAGTAAAATTTTGCTGAAGATCATTCAAAAGTGGTTGCAGCAGTACATCAGAAAAGAACTGCCAGAAATTCATACCGGATTCAGAAGAGGATGTGGAATGAGGGATATCATTGCTAATGTCAGATGAATCTTGGCTGAAAGCAGAGAATACCAGAAGGTGTTTACCTTGTTTTATTGACTATGCAAAGGCATTTGACTGTGTGGATTGTAACAAATTACGGATAACATTGCAAAAATGGGAATCCCAGAACACTTAATTGTGTTCATGCGGAACTTGTACACAGACGAAGAGGCAGTCATTTAAACAGAGCAAGGGAATACTGCGTGGTTTAAAATCAAGAAAGGTTTGCGTCAGGGTTGCATCCTTTCGCCGTACTTATTCAGTTTGTATGTTGAGCAGATAATCCAAGAAGCTGGACCATATGAAGAAGAACGTGGCATCAGGATTGGTGGAAGACTCATTAACAACCTGCGATATACAGATGACACAACCTTACTTTCTAAAAACTTAAGTAACTTGAAGCTTACTAATAAAGATCAAAGAATACAGCCTTCAGTATGGATTACACCTCAACATAAAGAAAACAAAAACCCTCACAATTGGAACAATAAGCAAAACCATGATAAATGTAGAAAAGATTGAAGTTGTCAAGGATTTCATTTTACTTGGATCCACAATCAACACGTATGGAAGCAGCAGTCAGGAAATCAAATGACGTATTGCATTGGGCATATCTGCTGCAAAAGACCACCTGACCCAAGCCATGACATTTTCAGTCGTGTCATATGCATGCAAAAGCTGGACAGTGAATAAGGAAGACTGAAGAAGAATTGATGCCTTTGAAATATGGTGTTGGCAAAGATTATTGAGTATATTGTGCACTGCCAAAAGAACAAACAAGTCTGTCTTAGAAGAAGAATGGTAAGACTTTGTCTCATGTACTTTGGACATGTTAGCAGGAGGGATCAGTCCCTGGAGAAGGGCATTGTGCTTGGGAAAGCCAGAGGGTCAGTGAAAGAGAGGAAGACTCTGAACCAGATGGATAGACACAGTGGCTGCAACAATGGTCTCAAACATAACAATAATTGAGAGGATGGCACAGGACCGGGCAGCATTTTGTTTTGTTGTACGTAGGGTTGCTGTGAGTCCGATCCAACTGCACAGCACCTAACAACAACAAATAAAGTGCTTAAAATGTGTGTGTGTGTGTGTGTGTGTGTGTGTGTGTGTGTGTGTGTGTGTATAGATATATATGTGTGTATATTTAGTGGGAATTGGGTGAAAGTTTTTGGTCATTAGTCTTCTATTTCTCTTCACTTCCTTAATTTGGATTCCAGATTAATGTCTTCAAGGATCCAGTTGCTGATCCCAACAAAAGATCCAAAAAAGGTCGATTATCTCTACACAGGACACCAGCAGGGAATTTTGTTACGCTTGAGGAAGGAAAAGGAGATCTTGAGGAATATGGTCATGTATGTATCTACGCTGATATATATATATTTTTTTTTTTTTATTTATTGAACCTTAGGTGAAAGTTTACAGAACAAACTAGCTTCTCATTAAACAGTACATATATTGTTTTATGGCATTGGTTAACAACCACATGACATGTCAGTAGTCTTCCTTCTCGACTTTGGGTTCCCTATTACTAGCTTTCATTTCCCCTCCTTCCTTATAGTCCTCACCCATTTAGTCTCATTTTGTCCTATCAATTTGTCTAATCTTTGGCTAAAAGGTGAACTTGTGCTATAAGGGTGTTTGGGGGCCATACTTTCAGGGTTTCTCCAGTCTCTATCAAACTAGTAAGTCTGGTCTTTTTCTTTTGTTAGAATTTTGTTCTACATTTTTCTTCTGCTCTGTCCGGGACCCTCTATTGTGATCCCTGTCAGAGCAGTCAGTGGTGGTAGCCGGGCACCATCTAGTTGTACTGGACTCAGTCTGGTGGAGGCCATAGTAGTTGTGGTGTATTAGTCCTTTCGACTAATCTTTCTCTTCTGCCTTTAGTTTTCTTCATTTTCCCTTGCTCCTGATAGGGTGAGAACAGTGGAGTATCTTAGATGGCAGCTCACAGGATTTTAAGACCTCAGACGCTACTCAGCCAAAGTAGAATGTAGAACATTTTGTTCATAAACTATGTTATGCCAAATGAGCTAGATGTTCCCTGAGACCATGGTCCCCACACCCCTCAGCCCAGCAGTTCAGTCCCTCAGGGACTTTGGATTTATCCATAGAGCTTCCATGGCCTTACCCTGAACAAGTTGTGCTGCCTTCCCCAGTTCTGTGCACTGTTTTACCGTTCACCATAGTTACCACTTATCTATTGTCTATTTAGTGTTTTTCCACCCCCACCCCCCCCTCCCTCCTAACCATCAAAGATTCTTTCTTTTTGTGTATAAACCTTTTCATGAGTGTTTATAATAGTGGTCTCATACAATGTTTGTCCTTTTGTGATGGACTTATTTTACTCATTATAATGCCCTCCAGATTCATCCATGTTATGAGATGCTTCGAAGATTCATCATTGTTCTTTACCATTGCGTAATACTCCATTTTGTATATGTACTGTGGTTTGTTTATCCAGTCATCTGTTGATGGGTGTCTAGGTTGTTTCCATCTTTTTGCTGTTGTGAACATGGGGGTGCATATGTCTATTTGTGTGATGACTCTTATTAGGGTATATTCCTAGGAGTGGGATTGCTGGATCATATGGTATTTCTATGTCTAGCTTTCTAAGGAAGCACCGTATCAGTTTCCAAAATGGTTGTACCATTTTGCATTCCTACCAGCAGTGCATAAGAGTTCCAGTCTCCCCACAGCCTCTCCAGCATTTGTTATTTTCTCTTTTTTGGATTCATACCAGTAATGCCCGGGGTGAGATGGTATCTCATTGTGGTTTTGATTTGCATTTCTCTAATGGCCAGTGATGGCAAGCATTTCCTCATGTGTCTGTTGGCTGCTTGAATGTCTTCTTTGGTGAAGTGTCTGTTCATTTCCTTTGCCCATTTTTAA